CTTTCTTATACAGCCCAGGACCATCTGCCTAGAGATTGCACTACCCACAGTGGGCTGGGCCCTCCTGCATCTGTCAACAATCAAGGCAATCCCCCACAGGCCAGTCTGATGGAGAAAATTCCCCAGTTGAGGCTCTCCTCTCAGACAACTCCAGGCTGTGTCAACTTGACAGTTAAAGCCAACCGGGACAGGCCCAGACCTCCCAGGGCAGGTTGATGGCGGTTATTGCAAGGTACTAAACCTGGGTGGCTGGTTACACACCAACAGCTGACTGAATCAGACTGTCCAATTCAGCCCTCTCCTCCCACAGGCTATCACCACAGGTATCCCCACCCAGCTTGCTCACACCTCAGCTCTGAGGGGCACAGAGAAAAGCCCACAGTGACCAGGACCCCCAATACACCACAGGTGACCCCAGGGCACGTAAGGCCCAGGGTGAGGTCCTGCCTTTCAGTGGTACCAGGGGGCTTTCTGATCTGGCCCCTGCCCTTTATTTGAGGCCACACGTCCCATGCTACCCTGCTATTCGACCCTGAATCTACCCAGATTGACCATCACTTTTCTCTCTCTGCCGCACATGGTCCATTCCCTCTGCTGAGAGCTGTTCCTCCCACCCTGCAGCACACACTGCCCTGCAAGCAGCCAGCCCCAAGAACCCCGCTGTCTTTCTCTGATGACTAACGAACCTGGTCAACTGTCCCGCTGTGTTCCCAGCAGTAAGCATGCTGCCCAGGGGCTAGGAGGACGGGCTGGATCCTTGCCTCTACCAAAGACCAGCCGCTGACCCAGCCTGTTAGCCTCAGTGTCCCCACTTGTGGCCTGGAGATGGATTTAAGATCTTCACAGCACAATGACAGGCCTGAGGTCCTTGTGTGAAGGACAGTGCTGATATGGGGTAGGTTCAGGACTACATACACCAGGACTAACGCAGGTCAGACACACCTTCCCAGAGTCCCGCCACCCACTCATGTCTGAAGGTCAGCTCCCACAGGAACCTGCCCTTTTCTAAATTGGAGTCCCAAAAGGCAGAGTGTCAGATGCTAGGCTTGTAGCCACAAGACTGGGTGCAGGAGGTCGGGACCAAGGCAGTCATACACTCCGCTAAACCAGTGTCCCCAGCGGGCTGCCTCTTCCACTTCCCGCAAGGACGGACGGTTGGAGCGGTGCAGACACGGCCTCCTCCCAGTCCCATCCCTGGGAGATAATTAGTCCATGCCTGCAATCTCTGCGTTTTGAAATTCATCCTGAACCCTCATAACCCACTGGGCTTCATTTCAAATACCCGTGCACTTTCATCTTCCCAGCCTTCATTAATTCTCACACCCGCGCCCGGGCACAGCGCGCCCGCCTCTCCTCGCAGGGCCGGCTGCAGTCTCAGCCCTGCAAATTGATCGGCGCTTCCTCCTCCCTGGCATTTGCACAACGGGAGATGGTCTATGTGTCTGCGACCAGCCAATGTCTCCTTACCCTTCAATTTGCAGACAGCTCGGCTCCCAGCATAGGAAGGTAAGGCGAGATTAGTTGGCAAAGCGGAATGAGGACCATTCCACCCCCAAAGGTGGCACAAAGCCAAGGACAAGTCCTGTTTAATTGGTTACATGTAACCCTGTCCTCTTTTTTCTGTTTTAAACTTAATTCTAACTTTTAACATTTGAAGCTGCCTTTCTCTGGGTCACCCCTCACCTGGGAAATGGCACATACATCTCTCAAGGACGAAGAGACACCCAAGCGTGCCCTTGGCATTTCTGACCATTGGCAAGTGAAGGCCTGGCTCCTCATGATGAGGAAACTGAGGCACACGAGGGGCCGTGTGGATAAAGCCCAGGGCCTGGAGCAGCTGGTCTGTCTCTCCTATCCTCCACTATCTTTCTTGCTTGGAGTCTTTCTTGCATTTCAAAGGGAAGAAGACAAAGCGCAAGTCCAGTGCTCAGGGACAAAGCAATGCAGGCCTGGGCTCTTCAGGGGGTTGGAAGGGTCCTTTCTTGACATTTCGAAAGGATGTGTTCTCAGCCACCGTGGGAGTGGTCCATCATGTGTCACACTGCTCTCCAAGGAGGCTCAGAGGAAATTCCCCGTGAAGCCATGCGCATGTGGCCAGGCAAAGTCTCTGCTCTCTATCTGGAGCAGGTATCAAAGGCCGCATTGCACTCTCAGGACCAAGCGGGACTGTGTGCTTGAGCAGGATGGATGTCCCTTCCAGACACTGTCTACAGGGATAGTGCTGCCCCGCAGCAGGGTGTCCTCAGGGGTCACTGACCCTCTGAGCAAACTTCTCAGAGCACATTAGATACAATGGACCCTGAAGTGACCAAAATGCAAGCACGTAGCCTCAGAGCATGTCCTGGAGTCCATCCAAGGCAGTTAAGCACACAGGGCATGGCCTTCAAGGATGTGGGTATCGGAGTTTCACTGCAGAGGTGCTGGCAGCCTGTTGTGATTCCAACAGAGAAGAGTCCTCCTGAAGGGTATGAGAGGTGCCTGGTAGAAACAGAGCTAGAGAGGAGGGCTTGGGGGCAAGGAGGCTCCCAGGAAGGGGTCTCCAGCAGCAAAATTTAGCACCTCCCCTGGCCCATCAAGGAAATGTGTCGTGAGTTCACTAAGCACATACATACACTGTGTCCCTGTCCTGGACCAAGAACTTCAACACACACAGACATACATACACAGAGAGAGACACATAATTTTAAATAAATATATTTAAAAAGAAGGGTTGATTCTGGCTTATGGTTCCAGGGATACAGTTCGTCACAGTGGAGAAGGCACACCAGCTGGAGTGAAGCAGCTGGTCACATCCCACCCACAGTCAGGAAGCAGAGGCGTGAAGGTTGAATCTCAGCTCATTTTCCCCTTTTTATTGAGTCTGGGAGTCCAGCTCATGGGCTATCAGCCCCAATAGTTAGGGTGAGTCTCCCCACTTCAACCTAATCTAGAAAATCCTTCACTGACTTGCCCAGAGGTTTGTCCTAGGAGATTCTAGGATCCCATCAAGTTGACTGTCAACCATTACTGGGAGATTGGATTATGGGTCTACATACCAAAGACATGAAGACCTACCTGCAGCTCCGGAAAGCTCAGCAAAAGGCTTAAGTCAGACCCTCCGAGAGTTCATAGGCAGCACAGCCTGACAGTACTGTGACTTCTTATGCTGGGCTCCAGAGATGGCGGGTGACAAAGTTCCACTCTGGTGCAGTGTTTACTATGCCAAATTACAGTTATGTCTTAACCAAAAATAGACTCTTAGCATCCATTTTAAGACCAAGACAGACCCAAACTGCTGAGAACCTGCTCCTTCAGATTCCTCAGAGCTGTGCTGCTCTTTGTTTTATTGTAAAAGAATCTCCAGCATGAGATGGGAAAGCCAAGGTCCAACCCTTTTCAGAGAATTCTGTTCTTTCTGACCCCTAGACCCAGACTGAGACCAGCACACATGCAATTACAAACAGTACCAGTTTTTCTAATTTGCAATAGATAAGCACTGTTTGCAGTGTTTGACACGTAAACAGACACACATACACTCATACATGATTTTAAGTTGAGGGCAGGGAAGGGTCATGAGGGAAGAAACCCACATGACCAGGTTACAAGTCACTACCACACGGTGGGAGCTGCAGTGTTTGGGGGCTGACACCAGCCTTGAGAAATTAATAGTCCACTATGTAAATTCTGCCGGCAGGGGGGAGCTATGGCTCAGCAGTTGAGAGCACTGGGGAGGACCCAGGTTCAGCTCTCAGCACCCACCTGGTTGGTGGCTAACAGCCATCCATAACTCCAGTTCCAGATCTGACACCCTCTTCTGGCCTCTGTGGGCATTGCATGACATGACTTATATATATGCAGGCAAAGCATTCATACACATAAAATTAAAATAAGTAAATTTTAAATGAACTAACATAAAGGGAGGGTCTAGAGAGATGGCTCAGTGATTAAGAGCACTGGCTGCTCTTGCAGAGGACCTGGGTTCAGTTCCCAGCACCCACATGTTGGCTAACAACCGTCTGTAACTCCAGTTCCAGGGGATCCAACACCCTCTTCTGAACGCCATAGGCATTGCATGACACAGATGCACTTATATACATGCAGGCAATACAATCATAAAATAAAAATAATAAAAAATGTTTTGAAAAGAAATTCTGCCAGGTTTAGGGTATGACTCGGTGGAGCACCAGTGTAGCATGAACTGAGGTTCTACTTTCCATCCCCAGCAGATG